TAATTAGTTTTCAAATCTAAATATTAATATTTAATAAAATAAATTTTTAATTTTTAAATTAAATTTTAATTTAAAAAAACGATGTAATATAAGGTTAAAATACTAATTTTAAAAAAAAATCATGATTGATATGTATTTTTTACTATATATACATATTTAGTAAAAAATATATATCAGTTTTTGACTTTTCAAAAAAATTGAAGTTTTAATATTAAATTATGTTATATTAATTAATTAAAACTTAATTTAAAATTTAAAAATTTATCTTATTAACTATTAATATTTAAACTTAAAAACTGATTGGATGTTCAAATTTTGAATTAAGATTTTAATTTTTAAATATATATTGAAACTCTAATTATTAAAAATAAAAAAAATCAAAAATTAATATTTTATATAAATATAAAAAATTACATATCAATTTAATTTCTAAAATAAATTGAAACCCTAACCTTAAAGTACGTTATTTTATTTAATTAAAATTTAATGTAAAAATTAAAATCTCATTATATTAAATATTAATATTTAGATTTAAAAATTAATTATATTTTAAATATTAATATTTAATATAATAAAATTTTAATTTTTAAATATAAGTCAAAACTTAAATTATTTTTAAAAAAATCAAAAGTGATTTGCATTAATATCTAAATATAATAAATAAAATTTATATATAAATAAAATTTTTTCCATATATATATTTAAAGTTAATATTTTATAATTATAATAATCCAAACGGTAACATAATTTTTTTATATATAAAATGGTCTTTCTAGATTAACATCTGCTTCAGTTTAATTTTAGCCACCGACAATTTTTCGTCAAAGGTCGCAACTTGTGAACCACGCGGATGATTATATTTGACAGTTCAGTGGCGCAAGAATGAGGCAAGAGCAATAATGGACGCTACGGTGTTACGGTGGGCATCGTAGATCAAAGATCATCAATGTTGTGCTGTGATTAAGGCTTGGGCCCCTACAAAGAGCTTTACTTACTTCAACTAATTTGAGGCAAGGGTGCACGGAACTGATTAATGATTATATGGAGTGATATTATATTCAACCCTCTCAATTATTAATATTATATTTTTATTTTAATTAATTATTATATTATTTAATTTATTAAAAAATAAAAAATTAAAA